CGCAGGGGCCAGCTGCATTGCGCATGGCCCAGCACCATTCTACATTGCTGAGCTGCATTGCACAGGAGAATCCCACACTGCACAGGACCATCCTGAGTTGGACAGGAGCATCCTGCATTCACAGGACCACCTGAGTTGCACAGGATCATCCTGCGTTGCATAGGATCATTCTACATCGCACAGGATCGTCCCGTGCTGCACAGGATCGTCCTGCATTGCGCAGGAGCATCCTGCATTGCGCAGGACCATTCTACATTGCACAGGATTGTCCTGCATTGCACAGGAGAATCCCACACTGCACAGGACCATCCTGAGTTGGACAGGAGCATCCTGCATTGCACAGGACCATTCCGCATTGCACAGGATCATCCCGTGCTGCACAGGTTCAGCCTGCATTGCACCGGACCATTCCACATTGCACGGGATCGTCCTGCATTGCACAGGAGCATTCTGCCTTGCACAGGATCATCCCGTGTTGCACAGGAGCATCCTCCATTGCACCAAATCATCCTGCGTTGCACGGGAGCATCCTGTCTTGCACCGGATTGTCCCACGTTGCATGTCCCAGAGCCGCGGCGTGCTGAGCTGGGCTAATGGTGCTGCTGGAGACACTTCTCGGGTGCTGGGCAAACTGTCCCGCTCCCTTCCCGGTCCCCTTAGCTCTGAGGGGGTACATAGCTCCTGCTCTCCCTCCCCGGCTCTTCTCCTGGGAGACCTTCCCCAGCTGAGGCTCTCTAATCAAGCTGTATACATTAATTACAGGCTAAAAAGGCAGGTAACATGCCAATTAGCATGGAAGATTGACACACCCCTTCTGTCTTCCCCCACTGCAGACCCTGCACATCTGCCAGTGTGGGTATTCCTGGGCTTTAGCTGGATTCCTTCCTTCATCCTGACGGCAATGCCGGGAGCTGGCGCGGCCGATGCCGGTGAGCTCGGTGCATCAGCCCCGTCCTGTCCTCGGCCTGGCACACGGGGTGATTCACCCCCAGTTGCTCTGGCCGGCGGCAAACCCTGAAGCAAGAGCCCGGCGTCCTGCAGCTGCAGCCCCGGGGGGGGGGGGTCGGGATGGC